CCTTGCGCTTGCCAGGGAAGTGCTTATTCTACTGAGCCGTCTTCCCGGCCCCTCCATTTGTTTTTCTTTTTTTCTTTTTTAAACTATGTATTTGGTACAGGGTCTCACTATGCAGCTTGGACTTGTAGTGATCCTCCTGTTTCAGCTTTCCAGTCTGGGATTATAGGTGTATGCCACCACACACAGTCTTGATGGCTAGCTGGGCATGCCTGGGGTGGGGCTGGCATGGCATGTGGTACCAGGGATCCTTGTGCTTGCCTCTGCAGGTGCTTAGATGGCTGAACTATGTCTGTCCATGGCCCCTCTCTTCTCTTCTTTTTCTTCTGCTCTCACTGTCAAATATTTTCCATGTCATGGGTTCAGGGAGTATGCTTATTTTATAATAAGTACTAGCAAAAGTGCCCCTTGGCCAATAAATCAATGCCTAATGTTTTTAACAGCTTTATTTCAAATTTTTCTATTATTCAGTTTATGAGTACATATATGTAGTACATAATGTTTACCTTTTTCATGGGAGTTGGTGCTTGCATGACACGTCTTAGTCCCTTTTCTCACCCCCTTTTACCCTCCCCCCCCATCACCTGGTCCTTCCCTGTGGAGAACAATCGACCTCCCTACTTCCTATTATCCATCTTTTAGTTTGCTCTTCATTTTTCCCCCTGAATTTCTCATATAAGATAAACAATGTGATACTTAAGCTTGTGTGTCTGATTTATTTCACTTAACATTCTGGTCTCACAGCGCGTCCATTTTCCTACAAATGACTCAAGTTTATCTTTCTTTATAGTACACCAGCATTCCACAGAGTGTAAATATCACATTTTATTATAGGGTGGCAGCTGCTTTGATTATAAAACAAAACTTGGCTTGCAAGTCTCCCAATGTTCACTGGCAGATGTTAGTGCCTTCTATTCACAAGAAAGAATACCTCTGCGGCTGGCTTTCTGTGCTGGTATTCTGTTCTTGAGACAAGAAGGAGCGGACTGTCATGCACATTCACTGCTTCTGCTTGTGCACATTTACTGCATGCACCCGGAGGTCCGGGGAAGAAAGCACCTGATACTCACAGACTGGTCTTCGTTAATGGGGTCCTGGACGCTCCCGCTGCACTGCGGAACCCATGGAGGGTCGAACATGGGGACAGAGGGCATTCCAAGCACTGGCGACGGCAGAGTGAAGTTGATGCTGGGGGGCGGGATCTGTTTGTTGATATCCGAGGAGTGAGGTGTGAGTAAGACCAAAGAAAGGCTGCAGTGAATATAATGATGGTACAGGCTGCCTCAGGAAGCTTTGGAAGTCTAAGTGACTGGACACGAACTAAGCAAGCACCAAGCATAGGTTTGTTTCCCAAGATTTTCTGTTACATGGCAGAGAATGAATCTCTCTAGGCCTCAGATTACTTGTAGGTAAAATAGCCAATCTCCACCAAATGATCTTTACTTGTGCTAATCCTCCCCTCTTCCCCAAAATCATCTGTATGCGTGTAGCCAGCAAAATGGCTACAATATTATAACTTAGATTTTTATGTCCTTACTTCAGGAAATGGGGCTAAGATTTTGTGGCTTGCAGAAATTTGGTTCCTTACTTTACATTCTTTAATATTTCAATGTTTTCAGCAAGAAGAATTCACTCATATGCAAATTAAATGAACATGTGTAATTAGAAAGAAACAGTAACCATTGCTTAGGCTATCCACCATGGCTCTGAGGTTGGTTTTGGTAATGTAGTTCCCACATAGAATTCTCACCTTAAAAATCTGCTGTGCTCCCTCCTCCATCCGGGGCCAGACCTGATAGCGGAACCTCCAAAGCGTGTGGAACTTGAGGACGGCGTTCAGTCTCTGCACGGTCTCTGGATGGTGGAACTCCGACATCAGCATGTCTGACACAGCCTCGGGGACCTTCACCGCACACAGCAGGAACATGGCAGCTAAAGACAGTCAATGGGCAGTTGTGCATTTTAAAATTCTCCATAGTTTCTGAGGTGAGGGAGAAAGGGGAACTGCTCCTGTCTTCCGAACATGTATACACACATATATGTGCATATATACAAATTTTCCTGGGTATGGAAATGCATATATACATATATTTATACATATATGTATATGTACATACATTATGCAGTGTACTCTAGATCTACAAGGACTCTTGAGCACCTTAAAAATTCCTGAGACATGGGATGGCTGGTCATGGGACAGTGTCACTTCTTTTTTTTTTGCGGAACTGGGGATTGAACTCAGACCCTTGTGCTTGCCAGGCAAGCGCTTATTCTACTGAGCCATCACCCTGGCCCTTACAGTGTCACTTCTAACTCAAAGTATTTTGTACTATTTGCATTTTAACATGCTTTCACAATTTAAGTAACTATGGCAAAAAAAATGGAATCTGGGCAAAAGGGAAAAAAGGGAAGAACCCATATTTTGCATCTTACCAGTTTTGTGGAATTGGATACATCACTTGAAAATCTTATTTTGATGTAAGTATGAACAAATAGCTTACATGAGATTTAGTAAAGTTAATGAAAGTGGTTCATGATAAATACAAGAGTGAATACAAGAAGAATTATCTCTTCGTAAAAGATAGTGAAAATGTAGTTCCTGGGAACATCATTCTGTGTAATTTGGTGACAACCAGCTATAATTGAATATTAACTGTTCCTAAAGCCCTGTGTGTTAAACCTGTTGTCATCCACAGTGTGCTATCAGGAGTCTGTGGGATCTTAAGGAAACAAGGCTTGGTGAGAGGACCTAAGGTCAACGGGCATAGCAGCCCACAGAAAATGGCTAGACCCTGGTCTCTTTACCCTGCTTCTGGCCAGCAAGTGCGTCGTCTTGTTCTGCCATTCACCCCCACCATTGCTGACTGGCACTCCCAGCAGACATCTAGATGCAGTGGGTCTGCATGATGAAGAGATCATGGACCAGAACCTCTGAAGTTATCAGCCAAAATACCCTTCTCCTCTTCATAGGTTAGCTGTCTCAAGAATTCTGTTACAGTGACAGAAATCTAGCTAACACATACAATAAATGATCTGTTCTTGTGCAGACCACACAATGAAACAGGAAGAGCTCAAAACTGGCTAGCTGGTAGCGCACAAGTCTATCTAGGCATCTAACTTGCTGTCAGCCTGACCTAGGAGAAAAAATGAAGCAAAAGCCTCCTCTTATTTCAATGCTTGGACAAGTCCTGGAAGGTGGCCAGAGCCAGGCTGCAGGTGGTCTTTCCTTACCTGCTGCCCCTGCCATGTGCTCATCCATGCTGAGCAGCAGCTCCCAGGCAGCCGGCTGGATGTCTCCGTACATCTCCTCTGTCAGAATTGGTGCTGCCTTGATTAACAGAGACAAGGGAGCAGGTGACAAGCTCATCACCTGGGAAAAAGATGGAGAACATGTTTTACCATCTTTTACAGTACTGATCACTGCCTTCTTAAAACTGACAAACCACTTCCCTTCTCCCTGCTTTCCTTAAATGACCTTATTTTACTTTCTTAAATGGAAGTATATTTAGAAAGTATGAGGTACATGCTTTATATTTTATTAGTTAAGATGAATTTGAAGAAATAGTGCCAATTGTGTAATGTTTTTTTATCATAGAACAGTTTTTCAGTCATCCAAGGAATAAACTGCAGAATAAGTATAAGTCTACAAGAAAAGAGACTAGGAAATATATAGTGATAAAAGTCTAACAGGACTTTCAAGCTTTCTTTATTTCTTCCTTTTAATAGATTTCCACTGAAAGCTATAAGCAATCTCTGACATACGAAGCAATTCATTTAGAAACTTAGTTTTCTAAGCCAGTATGAACTTGTATGGCATTTCCATTTGAAATAACATACATTATAGTTATGATCAAATATCCACCCATAAAGCCCTATTTAATCCATTATTTCAGATATTTTTGGTGATAATTTAGGTATAAATGTAGGTGTTGGACAAGTCATTTTAATTAATTAATTAATTTTTCAGTACTGGGGATTGAACTCAGGACCCTGTGCTTGCCAGGCAAGTGCTTATTCTACTGAGCTACTTCCCCAGCACCCCTGGTCAAGTCATTTTAAATACATTCCAGAAAAACATGAAAGCTTCCCAACTTCCACCCAAAGGAGAAAGTTATTACAATTTAGAGCACAGGCTCTAATAGCACTACAGCGATGTGTCAAGCAGTGCATAAGTAAGTAAACATAATATTTCATTTAATTTACCCATGAATTCTTTAGGATAGGTCTGTGCCAGAATCCCCAATTTATAGGTTAGGAGACTAAGATGAGAAATTAAATAAATTGCCCCAAATCCCAGAGCAGTAGCCATGGGATACAAATCCAAACTAATTCCAAAATGATGTGTGTTGCCACCCACACTGATAGGAAATCAGCTTCCCTGGAATGGGCAGTGAGGAGAGGTCCTGCTTCAGCCAAACATCGCAGGACACTTGGAAGCTGCCTGGCTTGCGAAGGGTATATTCCCTTGCACACCTGGTGGCGCTCTTGCTCACAGTGAAGGGGAACTTGGGGGCCAACATTATGCTAGTTTATATCATGTGTCCCAAACACTAACAAACAAACAGGCTATCTGCAGCCTCCTCCCTGGTAGTTCTACATGAGTATCTTAGAATGAGGTGGCAATACCTGAAGCCTGATATACTTCAGCATCCCAGAATCTTTTTTCCCTTCCAGGTTGGCATCTGAAACTCTCTTCTTTAGAGAAGGTGTCCTCAGGCATGACTTATCTGAGCACTGAAAAGAGAATGAAATATCTGATGAGGGTACTGTGTTTTCTCATTAAGCTAACAGTTCTTTCTTTGTCTCACACTCCCCAAATAACCATTTTCTCTGGAAATCATGATTTTATGGTTTTTCATGATTTCTGAAATTTAGAGAAGTAGTTAATTTCATAATGAAAGGGAACTTAGAGCTCATTAGTAACAACTCTTTATTTACATGTGAGGAGACTAGAATCCAGAGAGGTGGAGTAACTTTACCAAGTTCCAAAGCTGGCTATTAATAGAATGAAGAAAAGACAAGAATCTCCTTAATTCAATCTCAGGATTAATTATATGCCATCAAGCAGTTAAAATTACAAGTATTTTAAAATATGAAGTCAGATAAAATCCATTCAATCAAATAGTCTCTGGGTTCACAATAAGCCTGACTGAACTCCATCAGGAGGGCTGAGACAATTCTTTCCTCTGACTCCTCAGGAGCAAATGGAGCACCTGGGAAAAGCATCAGTCCTACTGGGCACAAGCCCTTGTTTGTTCATCCTGAGTTCTGAGTCACCCTAGTTCTGCACTCCACGATGTCCAAAGAGAGAATCTTCCTTCATAGAAGAAAAGCTCATCTGTTTTTTTTTTTCCCTCAATGCCAGGTCAATGAAACACTTTTCTCTCAGTGCCAAGAGAAAAAAACTGGACTCAAAAATTTTTGGACAAAGCTTCACAGTATTATAGATAGAGATATTCTGAAGTAAAAGGCAACTCTAAAAGTACATGCATGTTCCAAGAAAGTCTTTCAAAACTTTGGTGAAAAGATTCAAGACAATGAATCCATTATGTGGTGCTGGTAGGGTACCAACTTTTTAAATAAGCCTAGTTGGAAATGAGAACTCTTGCTGTGTTTCCTAAAGAGAAAAAAAGTGGAGATGCTTACTTAGGAACACATATCATTTGAGGAGAGAAACACTACCTTGTATTTCATTGTGATTTGAAAAGCAGCATACAGAAAAATAGTCCCAAAATCATTTAAACAAATAGTTTTGACTATAATTGTGGGGGTGTATTTGATGCCCCTCAAAGTAAAGATATTTAGATAATGGTATACCTCTGCTTGTATTCTTTCCACCTATGAGAAAAAACTCACATGTATTTCAGAACATTTGGCAAAGATAGGAAAACTGAAGAATACAAAAATACCCACAATGTCCAAATCAATAGTCATTATTTGTTCCTTTTAGCCTTTTATTCTCTGTATGCATACTAGTGAAACTGTGATAGTGCTACATACATGAAATGTAGTCTTAAATAATTCATTGAATTATGATTTTATAGGTATTTTACAGGTCATTATAATTATTTTAAAATATAATTTTTGGATTTTATAATGTACTCCATCTTTTTATCTTCTGGCTTACCATTTTGACTTTTTCATGGATAACTTGTGAACATTTTTTTTAGTTAAATGGCAAAAATACTAACCAGACAAAGACAGTAAAATACACTATATATGCAAAAAAGTATGAACATTTGTATTAGGCCTTGATATTCTGGAAAATGGGGTTGTGTTTAATTCTGCCTATGGAAAGATTAGGTCAAAATTCCCAGTTAATATGGTGGCATGGTTCCTTAGAAAAATGGAATGTTTTGGTAACTTTCTGACCATTGGGGTTCCTGCTTCAGTGGAAAGGGAAGGGAGTTGGAAGAGTTTTCACAGCAGAGTGAGAGGGTGGTCACTATTTGGAAATCACAGCCAGACTTGGAAGGTTGATAAAAAAGATGGGTTCATTGCAACAAGAACTTCAGTATACTATGTGGAGGAACTAAGTATCTCTACTGGAGTGACCTCTAAGTCAGACTAAAAGCTATGATTAGCTGTTTTTTGGTGTGGTAACTTGATGCAGTACTCTCATAGAAGGACTCAGGAACTGGATGGAGAAGGACACTTCTCCTGATGTGATCAATTAGAAGTTTATTAAAGAGATTTTAGTAGACTGTGACATACATATAAATGGTTGAAATTACCAGTCAAGGAAGACTCTGTAGAGAAACTAAAGACTAAAATAAAAGACAATTTATCACTGATAGAGAACATGATGAATTGTTGAGATGGTTCTACTAGAGAAAGCTAATGATCAATGGGAACCAGCTTCAGAGCCCCCAAACGTGTTAGGAGTACTGCGAAATGCTTATAGTTGTACACATCTTGGAAAAATCCATATTACTTGACTCAGTGGCTTCTCATCTTGACCACTGTTTATTGTATTTGAAATGCAAAATTCAATGACTGGGTAAGAATTTCTCATCCACTCCTCTAAAGGAGGAGGAGTGCGATCCCATCAAATTCCTATCCTAGAGTATGAAGGGACTGAGTCTGAATCCTTTAGTGATGGTTGCTGAGGACGACAAAGAAATGCCACCCTGAAATTTTCAGTCCCAGATGAATAAAGCAAGAGCAGTCAGATGGCAGAGATGAGCAAGTCAACCAAGATGGTCCAGGAAAACCAGAGATGTCAAATGCTGTCCATCCTGAGATGGGCAACAATTCTGGTTATCAATCCCTTAAAACTTAACTATGTTTCCCATTCTAACCCAGGCTTCATGAAATTCTGTTGTATCATTTGGAAACAAACCCTAATTATTTGGACAAGGTTGAATGAGTCTCTATTCCCTGAAACAGGAGAATATTAACTATAGAAGACTAATGATTATTCAAAAATTTCTACTTATTTTTTTAAGAGGTCAAAAATATTTATTGAGTTAACCACATGCCAGGAACTGGGCTAACTTCCAGAAATATGCTGAGGCAGAAACTATGCTGCTTGCCCCTGTGGAGAACATATCCTGAGGCAACACAGATAACAAACACAAAAACAAATGAAAAGCTAAGGGAGGTTAAAAATAAAGAAAAAAAGAAAAAGAAAAAGAAAATAATAGAGATGCAGGCTATGAAGGATGAATCACTGTGGAAATAATAAAATATTTAAAAGTTGGGAAAGTTGAAATCAGCTGACTATGCCCTTCGAGTAACAGATTTTATAACGAGCATCCTGCTGACAGAATGCGACATTTCCAAAAAGGTAACCAACACCTTTTGAACTTCAGAACTATTTGACATATAATTCATGCGTGTTATGTTGAGGCATAACTCTGGCTTATAAAATCAAGACCCAGGTCCTGGCCCTACCATAGTGTTGCCTGCAGTTTTAGGGGAAAAAATGCTGCATCTGTAGCAAGCTCATTGATCCCTTGATGTTTGCATGGGCTTCATAACATTTACCCCACATGGTGCCCTTTCATTTTGGGAACATGTATTACCATTTACCCTCCTTTTCTTTTGAGCTAAGAGAGAAAAAAGTTTTATCTACTCTTTTTCTAACAGCAAGTACTAATTTGACACTCACTATATTTAGAATATAATATTGCACAAAATGAAAAATACAGGCAGAATTCTTTGGCGAAGGTAATATATACATATAAAGTCACAATTTATTTATTTATTTATTTATTTATTTATTTATTCATTTTTGGATCTAGGGAAGGGTCTACGGGGTGTTCAGGGTCTCACTGTTCGATCGGACTCGTAGTGATCCGCTTGTTTACAGCCTCCTAAGAGCTGGGATTACAGGTGCGCACCACCATGCCCAGTCTCACTTGCAGTCTCAGCACACCCTGGGGGCAGGGCCAGCATAGCAGGCTCAGAGATCGAATCCCTGAAGCCACAATTTATATGCATTAAAAAATCCTCAGGGAGCTAAGGGAACCAGGTTTACTAAAGTAATAGTGGTGATCGAATGTACTAGCCTCAGAAGCTCTTGAGGTGCCCTTTCTGTCCTCACACAGTGTAAAAAAAAAAATCCTCAGGTTTGGAAGTGCACTAAAATAAACCTAAAGAACATATAGCAATCTGGATGAATCACAGCCATTGTTTGACTAATGTGCTCTCTGTGAAAGCCTGAGAAAATGTTTTCTCTCTAGGTGACTCTCCTTAGGCACACTATACATCATTGACCACTTTCCTATGTAGCCCCATAATTTCTTTGATCAGAAAATTTGGGACACCACTGAGTAACAGGATGCCACAGCACAGCTTCTCTTATGTTCTCAGTCCTCACTGACCTTGAAGTGCTAGGGCCAAAATATTGGCTATCCTTGTAGTCCCTCTCTTTCTCTAATTTTTGGCCTGCAAAATATAGTTGTTAAATATCCAGAAGAGAAGCTTAATGATATTATTACACTTTTAACAGAAGCAGTTGGGCTTAACATCACAATCTGTCTGAATATCAAACACCTTTGACATGACATAGAACTGCTATTTTCCAACAACCATAGATATTCTAAACTTTAAATACCTACAGAATGTGACAAAAACACAATTATACATTTTTATACAGAAATTTAGAAATCAAACCATATACAACATTGTAGCAGGATAATCTTATGATTTTTTTCTTGTATCTTATTTTCTTTTATTACCTTTTCTTTTCAAACATTTACTTTAAAGAGAGTATAGTGATAATTGATATGAAACTGACAAAAGATCTACAAGGTGCTGTACATGGTTTCAGGGGAAATCCTGAGGGGAGTTGACTGACCTTGTCAGATACAAAAGTTACATTTTTACTTATAGAGGTCTTGTTTTAACTTGGTCTTAACTATCCAGCAGAAAAGTATAACCATGAGGTATAAAAAGTAATGCCATATTAATATGCTGAGCTGTAAGAGGCTTGAGCCAACAACTTCTGACAATTACCAGTTCTACTGATAACTCACTACTATTATGGACTATTGGACTATATTGAGTTATTTTGCTGAATTCACGCACCTACAATATTTGAACTGGCATGAAGTATGAAAAGGTCCTTTAAAGACCTCCTACTACAGCTTCTCTAACAGCAATGGAATGCCCATCTTTGAGAAAACAAAACAGAAAAGGGGAATACAAATAAAGGACCATTTTGTAGTGAAAAAAATATGTATATACAAAATAGGATAGATATACACCTACTTTCTCTTAGTTCAATGAGAAGAAAGGTTTGTACTAATATTGTTTAGACAAGATATCATGTCTGCATCTTATCCTCTGAATAACCACTATGAAGACAACAATATGCAATGCATTTATTATTGTAACTGTTCTACTAACCTGTTTTGAAACTGTTTCAAAAAATGAATTAAAAAAAGAAGAATGTATAGCAAGTTTCTGAACCCTGAACTGTAGATTAGCAGATTGATCAGGGTTAGACGGGTTACAAAATTCACTGGCTGCCAAAATTTATTCTGCCATAAAAACCAATTAAAGAGGAAACAGGAATAAAATACCAATTGCTCATAGTTGATTCTACTCAGACCACTGCATTTACTCTTGATTTTCTGCTTTTATTTTGGCTCCGGAAATGTGGGCACTGTTCATTAATGTGACAGATTCAGAACAGGCAAATGGAAAGCCTCATGTGGGGGAGGTCTTGAGCAGGAAGCCAGCATTTGGAAATGCAATGTTTACCACTGAAGGCTCAATTGATCTTTTCAGCTAAATGTCAGGAGGTTAGAGGCTTCTTGACTCACTTTCCTTTCCTTTTGGAAATGCGAGCCACAGCAGGAGGGCAGAAGCCCTTTCTACCCCTCCATGCCAGGGTCTTTTTTTTCTTTTCTTTTGTCCATAATTTTATTGATAAACAAATAGCAATGAGACAGTTTCAAATCAAATTGGTACAACAGTTTCAATAATTAACACATTGCATACATTCTTCCTAGTAGTTAATTGCTGTACAAGATGTGGACATGATATCCTATTTACGAACACCATTAGAACAAATCCCTCTATTCATTAAGAGACTATAACTATATGTCTATGCTAACCACTTTGAATACACAGATACAAAATGGACATTCATCTGTATCCCCTTTTTTTGTTAAGTTCCGTTATTTGAATATTATAGGTGTGTAAACTCAGCAAAATATTCTAAAAGAGTTCAGTAGTCCATAATAGTATTGGGTCTTCCACTTGACTGGCAATGTCAGAAATCGTTGACCTGAGTCCCCTACAGCTCAACATAACAGCATGGCTTTACTTCTTATATTTCATTTTTATACTTTTCTGCTGGATAGGTAAGACCAAGGTAAAGCAGGACCTATGCAACAAGAGTCGTAGCTTTTGGGTCTGATAAAGTCAGTGAAATCCCCTCAGGATTTATCCTGAGATCCTGTACCTCAGATTGTAGAACCTTTGTCAGTGCAGCCATGTGGATGAGTCACAGCCCTAGCCTTCCAAAGTCAATTAAGACTCAGGACATATGAGAACTTGTACTGTAATGTCATGTAACTCGGTAGTGTCCCAAGTTTTCTGATCAAGGAGATTATGGGGCCAAAGAGGAAAGTGATCGATGATGTAGAGTGTGCCTAATGAGAGTCACATGGAGAGAAAACATTCTCTCAGGCTTTCACAGACAGCATGCCATTGTCTCGGCTGAGGCAGGAGTCAGGGAACCCCTGAGCCATCCCAGGCCGTAATCACACTCACTGACTCAGCACTGATGGTCCTCTGCTACAGCGTCAGTATTACCAGTGCTCTGATCCTGTGTCCTTTGGGCTAGAAAATGGGTGAGATTTTCTTAAGAGTTCTCAGTTCTCAGAGTTCATGATTAAGTGGCAGAGGCTGTCTGATACCACTCAGAGGCAGGAAGCAGAGCCTTCCCGTGGCCCTGCTTGGTGCAGTCCTCATCGGCCTATGCAGCCCCCGCATGCACCACCATCCTGAGGGCTCTCACCACGGTCCTTTGTGCTCCTCCTGTCTGTGGTGGCTGGAATGTAAGGAACTGACAACCAGGCTTCTTTCAGATGAAGGTTACTTGATTGGAAAGGCTTATTTCTGTTGCCAAATTCAAAGTCTCTCCAGTGAGCATTCTTAGGGGAGCATATTCTCTATTGTCCCAATGGCCCCCGTGGCCTTTGCAAGACTACATCCATCTGGAAGGTTATTAACATCTGTCTCTCAGGAGAGATCATGTACATGACATAAAGGCAGAGGCTGTTATCTCTTTTGTCCATTATTGTGACATGACACAAAGTACAGTCTCAGCCTAGTAGGGAGGTTCTTTAAAAATGCAGTGAGCAGAGAGGCAGATAGATGGATTGAAAAATATATGCGTGTATGAATGAACTAAGAATGGGAAAATCACAAGTACTATTATACTTTAGACAAAGGGAAGAAGCAAAGAAAATAACACTTATCATCCTCCTAAAATATGTCCTGTTCTTAGCACTAGGGAGATCAGAAGAGGTTTTAGGGAGAAGGCAGTCTTTTGAGTTGGATCTTAAAGGATATTTGGGTTTGATTATATATAGCTTAGAGATGAAAGCATAGTTTAATCAAACTATGGCAGTAAAAATTTTGATTGTGTATAGAAAACAATGAACATGAACTTATATTTGCATATTTTTGCAACTTACAACATATATAATTTTCTCTTAAGGTTAAGGGAATTTTTAATATGAAGACAGAATTTACACAAGTTAAAACTGGTTTTCG